TTATACCTTTCGATAAAGCTATCTGATGAATAATACATTATTTCGGTGTATGCTCCTAGCCCCCCCCCCCCTTAGTTTGACGGAACAATACTTACAATTTATTTGTTTTTGGTCTTAATATTTACAACAATCAATACGTATGCACTAATGCATAAGTGGGGGACTCTAAGTTGATGATTGGACACAAAAAAAGTACGTTATACGAGATGAGTGCGATATTCACAAACGTGTGAATGCTGTCACTTGATTATTGCGAGGGAAAAACACGAGTTGCATATGCTATTTTTTAACAATTAATATCCAAAGATTGTAAATACAGGGATTAAAGTACAAATGATCAAAAATAAAACTAAAAAAGCAATGTTTTACAGATAAATTTTGATTCATGACAATAACTGATGGAAAAATATACAAATACTTGGAAACTCTATACTCTCTGGGTTTCAAATAAGTTAGGGGTAGCGTACTCATAATTGTCAACGCAATGTTACTTTCTTAGATCACTTTAAACCTCAAAAAATCCACCGAGTTCCCACAAATTATATCAATGTCAAATAATCGTTAAGAGTTTTCTCACCGGTATACTTCTATCAAAGGGTCTCTCACCTGCTGGAGTTCGGACTTGGTAGCCTTTTTACGCCAGTAGTTCTGCACAGTTCGCCGCAGAGTGCGCGACTTGATGCCGTAGAGCAGGCCATTGATGGGCGGCGAGCAGGCAAGCAAGATCGACGCGATGGACGTTGCGATGCGGGGCGATCGGTGGATCTGCTGGTGATGCTGGATCGAGCTGCCGAGGATACTGCTCCAGCCGACGCTCGCCAGACCTGCGATTCCGCTACTCGTCACTGTGACCGCGGCTGATGCACCGCCACTGCTACGTTGAAAAATGTGGAAATAAGATCGATTATTTTTGTAGAGTTATTGAAAGTGTCACAACTACTGATCGCCGATTTCAATGAAACTTTAAAATATCGTTTTTTGTTTTTTTTTGTTTTTTTTTTGTTTTTTTTTTTTTTTTCTCATAACGGAACGCTAAAGAAGCTATAATGGTATAAGAGTGTAAAAATTTGTTGTCTGAAAGTTATATTAATTGCTAGGAAAAAGTTTTTTACTGCGTATTGCTGCCACTGCCACTGGAGGCCAAATTGCTTATATTGTCGATACCACTTCCGCATGCTTCCCATAGAAGTAGACAAGTATAGGGTAGGTAAAGAAGATAGAGAGAGCCAAGGAGCTGCATTACCTGTGCAAAAACATTTTTTTTTTTTTTTTTTTTTTTTCAACAAAATGATGACCACAATTTTTTATTTTTAAACAAAAGTATAACAAATACTCACCGTACTGGCAGCGCTATGAAACCTAGGTGGTCCATTAGCCGCTGGTGCCGTAGCTGCAGGTACAAAAAATGGGTTCCTCTGATGCGTAATCGTTACCTGGGCGCTGAGCGTCACCTCGTAGATGGCGCTAGCTATGCGGTGCCTGTGGTACCTCGCGATTCCCAGAACTCGAAAGTTGCACAAAGTTACCAGTAAAGCGGGTAGACAGATACCGAGGAATGCATATATTGCGCCGTAAAGTACACCAGCCGAGCCCCAACTACCATTGCCGAAATCTGGTGCACAACAGCCCAGTCCCGGCACGTAGCGGTAAGGCGGTACTAGGCCTGAAAATGGGGTGAGACAGAGCAGTATCGAGCCGATCCAAGATATACTTAGGCCAAGAACGACTCTTCGCGGGGACACCAAGGCCGAGTAATGCAGGGGCGCTGCGATCGCATAGTACCTGGAACCAAACAGTTTTTCACATTTGAGATTACTTTCAAGACCTATGAGTTATTAAAGCTAAGTAACATCCACGATGACCTACAAATGACAATTGTTCGTTCAAAACTTTATTATAGGGTGACGATGATCGCACCGAAATCAAGATGGCGTCCAAAATCATGTTTCACTGAATGGAGGTTTAGATGCCATCTTGGCTCAAATACAATCAGCGCCACCTTCGTCAAGTTTTGCATGAATTACAATCCCCACAGGTTAAAGTTAGATGTAGCGTAAGTTTATCGATAACACGGAAAAAAACCCTGTGGTAATTTTTACATTAAAAACCCCGATCGTAATTTGGGAGTATACTTTTCAACGGGCACAATGTACGATGGATCTTTGATTACTTTTGATCCGAAACTTTCATTTTTTGCTGTCACCGCCCACTACCCACCTTTCGCAATTGAGTCCGGTGATGGTCCAGAGGGCGATCGGATGCAAAAGGGCTAACAAAAAACCCGAGAGGGCGCACCAGGTACCAGCCAGGGGCCACGTGCCCGTCGAGAATATCAGCAGTACCAGGCAAACTGCCGTTTCTACCGCCCCCAAGTGTATCAGCAGCAGTGTGTTGGCCGATTGTTGTTGTTGCGACTAAAATTAAAGAGTTTCTCTAGACTTATCTCTCACTGAATTATAGAATTGTATAAAAACACGACAATAAAAATACGCTACCTGCTTGTTGAAGCTGAACACGACGAGCATGACATACGCGTTGACGATGAGACCCAGAGACGAGACAAGTATGAGCGGTATAGGTCCAAAGATCCAAGGGCCCATACCTTACCGTCTCCCTCTCTCTGAGCGTGAAAGGGCTCTGTGGGTCGTCGACAATAGGGGGCGGTGGAAATGGGAAAAGATTTTTTGAGGCCGATTTACCAGGCCGGTCCTCCACCGATTGACCTTGGCTGGGGTGTCCACAGCGGCATCTCCGATCGCCGGGATCTTTTCTCTATCCTTGTCGGCACTGGTACGCTGCCGCTGGTGCTTTTGCAACGAATTTCTGGAACAAATAAACGTACGCGGTTCATTGATTATTTCATTGTGGTGGGGTTTTACTCGAGAAATAGGGGTTTTTTTTTACTCATTATATAGTCTTGTTTTTTTTTTTTCATGCACAATTTTTTCAATTTTGCTTTCGATTGTTTTCATGTCATTACAATTCATGATTGCTAATTGATAGAGCTCTCAACACTTGGAATAATTAAAGACTAAGATTTCACAGTTATAATTTTACCTTAAAAAAAATTTGTCATGTCCGTCAGGTAATTAGAAAAATTATTGAACACTTTTTTTCTCTACGTACACAAAAAAAAATCACAGAGATTGAATATGATACAATTATCCAGAAGTACAAGCATTTGGCATTATAAGGACATAGAATTCTTGTTTCATTTTATGACAGTTATTATGCCATCAGTTTTGGTTTACATTAAAAAAATGATTTTCTTTACACAGATTTACTTATTAAGAACAAAAAAATCATACAAGAGAAAGGCTTGAATTGATTTCCACAACAGTTGAATGACAAAGTTTGTGTCCATCTAAACTATGCATCTTTTAAAATGCAATTTTTTTACGATAAGTAAGTTAATTAAGTTTAAGAAAATCGATTTAACAAGCCACTAATTGTAAATGTACCATTGACAACTTTAAACTACATGTAGTCCACCCGAAATTTAAAAATTCTTTTGATCACACATCAAATTATTAAGATTCTTTGCAGCTTTACAATATTCATCACTCACTATTTATACACATTATAAAATTTTTGCAACAACTTAAAACACTTGTCAAATTTTTGATTTTTTTTAAAATGTTTTAAAATGTATCATTTGATATTGTTTAAAAAAATTAAAAAAAATGTATAGTGTTTTTTTTTGTACGACATCTACCAACATAACGAAATGTAAACTATGTGTAACCCTGTATCATGGTATATTAAAACTTCTCATTAATCTTTGAAATGAAAATAATATCAACGCGTAAATCGTTCGGTGTAAATCGTATGTTACTGAAAAACCAATATTATTAAAGCATTTACTCATGCACATTAATCATCCCCGTGGAGTCTGACGACCCGGAACGCTCACAGTGGGATGTTTACGTTCAGTTGATATTTTTCCAACCTAAAACATAGTAGAGACAGAAAATGACGAAAAATGTTGAATTAGATGTGATTAATACAATTTTTTTTTTTTTTTCGTGAATATAGCCATACTACGAATAATGAAAATAAGAAGCTTTTGCTCGCGTGTTATGACATGAGAAGTGCGTAGGATGTGCCATATTCTATGGCTCTATGTATGCTGTAGATTAGTAATAAAACCGGAGAAATGATACTCCTATTCTCGAAACAGTGATTCATCTCTTTCATACGAGTTATTGATGGTAGGTCGTGATTATGATAACTTGAAGCTATCGATGTATGCATGGCGATGCAGAAAATACATGATACACTGTTGACTTTTCAGCGTATTCCATGAAATTTATTTATTTTTTTATATCTAGTTTGTAAGTTGTATTTTTGATTAATTGAAGACTCGAAGCGTGAGACCTGCATAACTTTGAAACCCTGCCATCAATAACTAAGCTTATTGTCCTTCGTAAGTATCGAAAAATGCTGGTTAGTAGTGCCATTTTAGGTGCGAGGTGCTACTTGTTTGCTTTCTGATACAACATTATGATGTACTATATTTTTTCTACGGCAAATTATAAAATGATTTTTTCACAGTTGACGTTTGTTTTTCCAAATGACAAATTATTTCTAAATAAACGCTTGCCAAAATACATTGCCTCGCAAGCTAGCGTATGAATAATAAACTGGCTCATTAGGTTTTTGATTAATTTTTGTGACAAACCGATGATGAGCGATGGTTAGCTGTACAGTACGTGTGACCCCTTGTTACGTAATAAGCTCACAAGTCCAAAAAGGTAAGATACAATAAAGGCATTTCTTGCCACACCAACTCACGCACAAATCAATCTCCATGCCTTTATATTAGGTATAATTATGATGTTCTTGCAATCAAAGACAATAATAAGAGCAAGTGCGGGCACATGCACCTTTCGATAAAAAAAAAAAAAGACGTGCAAAACATTTAAAAAAATCACAACTAGGGTAAAAAAAAAAAGAAAAGAAAAAAAGAAGAATCGATGAAGAAAAAAAAGTCCACTCACCAAGCTCAGCGTTGGGTACTCGGAGGGTATTACACGAGGCGGCCGGCTGCAGCCGGGCTCGGTGAAACGCGCCGACGATGTTGCCGCTGCCGAAGCCACCCACCGCAGCGCGACAGTTGCCAAGGGCGAGGAGAGCCTCGCTCAATCTACGCTGAAGCGGCGGGAACGGAAAGAACGAGGTGGAGGCGGGCCCGCTGCCGGATGGGCGCCGGGAGCCCGCGGCGCTCGGCGTTCGCGCCTGAATTTCCTGTATTAACAAAGACGAAGGTGACTACTTCTGCGGGAGCTTTGCTGCATATATATATATATATGTGTGTGTGTGTGTGAGGATATTAATGTTGCTTGGTTTTTCAAAGTCAATTATGCGTAGGTATATTGGGCGACGTTTTCCCTACCTCGGGAGATCATCCTGATCTGGAGGAGAGGAGTGTTTGGTTTGATTAACCCCGTGTGCTCTAGTGATTATAGCCCCATTGGGGGTGATTGGGCGTATTCCGCGAACTCGGATTTGTTGGAAAATTGAGTGGGTGCACGAAATTATCGGGTTGGATGGGAATCGAAAATCGTGTACGGATTTGAGAGTGTACGCTGCCTACCCAAGCGTGGGAAAACGTGTTGTGATGTTGTTCGGATGATGGGTATTTTCTAAATAAATTGAGTCTTTGTTTTACGTATAGAGGAAAAGGAACATGCGGATCCTACGATGGATCCATCGTGAGGATTGATGCACGGTTTGATGTAGGATTTAATCAGAAAACCAATTTTTATGTTATTTAGGAAGTCTTCGTTCAAAAATTTAATTCATAAAGCCTTTGTACTCTGTATGGCCCAAATTGTGTGGAGATCACTAGTTTACAAGTAATACTTTTATTATAAAGAGTCATACAAATTATTTTGGCATTATTTGAAGATTTTATATTTCTAGATTACGAGTCAAATTAGCTACTGTTACTTTTTTTATTAAAAAGAATAATAATAATAATAATAATAATAAAAACATTACATTTTTTATTCAACTCAAATACTTGAATTTGCGATTAATTTGCATAAGATTCCGTTTATTTATTGTCAAGCACTGTACGCAATCAAAGCCATGTTTTGTTATCGCAAAAGAGACACATCTCGATCGACCGCTCGTATAAGTATTTGTCGGCCCTTATATCGCGCTGAAATTGTAACAAACGACCTCGTCCAATCAATTCAGTCGATCATTATCTCGCGCGGTGGTGGCGACATTTCACCCCAATCGCTTTTCCTCGAGCCCTTATTACGTATTAATTTATACCTTTCGATAAAGCTATCTGATGAATAATACATTATTTCGGTGTATGCTCCTAGCCCCCCCCCCCCTTAGTTTGACGGAACAATACTTACAATTTATTTGTTTTTGGTCTTAATATTTACAACAATCAATACGTATGCACTAATGCATAAGTGGGGGACTCTAAGTTGATGATTGGACACAAAAAAAGTACGTTATACGAGATGAGTGCGATATTCACAAACGTGTGAATGCTGTCACTTGATTATTGCGAGGGAAAAACACGAGTTGCATATGCTATTTTTTAACAATTAATATCCAAAGATTGTAAATACAGGGATTAAAGTACAAATGATCAAAAATAAAACTAAAAAAGCAATGTTTTACAGATAAATTTTGATTCATGACAATAACTGATGGAAAAATATACAAATACTTGGAAACTCTATACTCTCTGGGTTTCAAATAAGTTAGGGGTAGCGTACTCATAATTGTCAACGCAATGTTACTTTCTTAGATCACTTTAAACCTCAAAAAATCCACCGAGTTCCCACAAATTATATCAATGTCAAATAATCGTTAAGAGTTTTCTCACCGGTATACTTCTATCAAAGGGTCTCTCACCTGCTGGAGTTCGGACTTGGTAGCCTTTTTACGCCAGTAGTTCTGCACAGTTCGCCGCAGAGTGCGCGACTTGATGCCGTAGAGCAGGCCATTGATGGGCGGCGAGCAGGCAAGCAAGATCGACGCGATGGACGTTGCGATGCGGGGCGATCGGTGGATCTGCTGGTGATGCTGGATCGAGCTGCCGAGGATACTGCTCCAGCCGACGCTCGCCAGACCTGCGATTCCGCTACTCGTCACTGTGACCGCGGCTGATGCACCGCCACTGCTACGTTGAAAAATGTGGAAATAAGATCGATTATTTTTGTAGAGTTATTGAAAGTGTCACAACTACTGATCGCCGATTTCAATGAAACTTTAAAATATCGTTTTTTGTTTTTTTTTGTTTTTTTTTTGTTTTTTTTTTTTTTTTCTCATAACGGAACGCTAAAGAAGCTATAATGGTATAAGAGTGTAAAAATTTGTTGTCTGAAAGTTATATTAATTGCTAGGAAAAAGTTTTTTACTGCGTATTGCTGCCACTGCCACTGGAGGCCAAATTGCTTATATTGTCGATACCACTTCCGCATGCTTCCCATAGAAGTAGACAAGTATAGGGTAGGTAAAGAAGATAGAGAGAGCCAAGGAGCTGCATTACCTGTGCAAAAACATTTTTTTTTTTTTTTTTTTTTTACGNATACTCACCGTACTGGCAGCGCTATGAAACCTAGGTGGTCCATTAGCCGCTGGTGCCGTAGCTGCAGGTACAAAAAATGGGTTCCTCTGATGCGTAATCGTTACCTGGGCGCTGAGCGTCACCTCGTAGATGGCGCTAGCTATGCGGTGCCTGTGGTACCTCGCGATTCCCAGAACTCGAAAGTTGCACAAAGTTACCAGTAAAGCGGGTAGACAGATACCGAGGAATGCATATATTGCGCCGTAAAGTACACCAGCCGAGCCCCAACTACCATTGCCGAAATCTGGTGCACAACAGCCCAGTCCCGGCACGTAGCGGTAAGGCGGTACTAGGCCTGAAAATGGGGTGAGACAGAGCAGTATCGAGCCGATCCAAGATATACTTAGGCCAAGAACGACTCTTCGCGGGGACACCAAGGCCGAGTAATGCAGGGGCGCTGCGATCGCATAGTACCTGGAACCAAACAGTTTTTCACATTTGAGATTACTTTCAAGACCTATGAGTTATTAAAGCTAAGTAACATCCACGATGACCTACAAATGACAATTGTTCGTTCAAAACTTTATTATAGGGTGACGATGATCGCACCGAAATCAAGATGGCGTCCAAAATCATGTTTCACTGAATGGAGGTTTAGATGCCATCTTGGCTCAAATACAATCAGCGCCACCTTCGTCAAGTTTTGCATGAATTACAATCCCCACAGGTTAAAGTTAGATGTAGCGTAAGTTTATCGATAACACGGAAAAAAACCCTGTGGTAATTTTTACATTAAAAACCCCGATCGTAATTTGGGAGTATACTTTTCAACGGGCACAATGTACGATGGATCTTTGATTACTTTTGATCCGAAACTTTCATTTTTTGCTGTCACCGCCCACTACCCACCTTTCGCAATTGAGTCCGGTGATGGTCCAGAGGGCGATCGGATGCAAAAGGGCTAACAAAAAACCCGAGAGGGCGCACCAGGTACCAGCCAGGGGCCACGTGCCCGTCGAGAATATCAGCAGTACCAGGCAAACTGCCGTTTCTACCGCCCCCAAGTGTATCAGCAGCAGTGTGTTGGCCGATTGTTGTTGTTGCGACTAAAATTAAAGAGTTTCTCTAGACTTATCTCTCACTGAATTATAGAATTGTATAAAAACACGACAATAAAAATACGCTACCTGCTTGTTGAAGCTGAACACGACGAGCATGACATACGCGTTGACGATGAGACCCAGAGACGAGACAAGTATGAGCGGTATAGGTCCAAAGATCCAAGGGCCCATACCTTACCGTCTCCCTCTCTCTGAGCGTGAAAGGGCTCTGTGGGTCGTCGACAATAGGGGGCGGTGGAAATGGGAAAAGATTTTTTGAGGCCGATTTACCAGGCCGGTCCTCCACCGATTGACCTTGGCTGGGGTGTCCACAGCGGCATCTCCGATCGCCGGGATCTTTTCTCTATCCTTGTCGGCACTGGTACGCTGCCGCTGGTGCTTTTGCAACGAATTTCTGGAACAAATAAACGTACGCGGTTCATTGATTATTTCATTGTGGTGGGGTTTTACTCGAGAAATAGGGGTTTTTTTTTACTCATTATATAGTCTTGTTTTTTTTTTTTCATGCACAATTTTTTCAATTTTGCTTTCGATTGTTTTCATGTCATTACAATTCATGATTGCTAATTGATAGAGCTCTCAACACTTGGAATAATTAAAGACTAAGATTTCACAGTTATAATTTTACCTTAAAAAAAATTTGTCATGTCCGTCAGGTAATTAGAAAAATTATTGAACACTTTTTTTCTCTACGTACACAAAAAAAAATCACAGAGATTGAATATGATACAATTATCCAGAAGTACAAGCATTTGGCATTATAAGGACATAGAATTCTTGTTTCATTTTATGACAGTTATTATGCCATCAGTTTTGGTTTACATTAAAAAAATGATTTTCTTTACACAGATTTACTTATTAAGAACAAAAAAATCATACAAGAGAAAGGCTTGAATTGATTTCCACAACAGTTGAATGACAAAGTTTGTGTCCATCTAAACTATGCATCTTTTAAAATGCAATTTTTTTACGATAAGTAAGTTAATTAAGTTTAAGAAAATCGATTTAACAAGCCACTAATTGTAAATGTACCATTGACAACTTTAAACTACATGTAGTCCACCCGAAATTTAAAAATTCTTTTGATCACACATCAAATTATTAAGATTCTTTGCAGCTTTACAATATTCATCACTCACTATTTATACACATTATAAAATTTTTGCAACAACTTAAAACACTTGTCAAATTTTTGAGCGTACCATCATTTATTACTGATTAAACCTTGACTTTAGGCTGAAAACTACCGGTAACAAAATTTATTCGTTCTGATAGCGCGATTATATGCACAGAAATTAAAAAAATAAATAAATAAATAAATTTAAAAAAAATAGTTCCTGAGAATGGCGTGTCAGAGTCACGAATTTCAACTGCCAGAACCACCGGTCAAAGGTTTTTTTCTTTCCTTCATTATAGATATCAGAGTAGGTGTGAGCAAGCGACTGGTATGTTTAAAAATAGTGTTGGTCTACCCACGATCGACGAATAAACCAAACAAATTTTGTAATCGGATCTACGTTACATACCTACTTTTGAATAAGCCCGATACGACGTCTCGTCGTTTGATGAAACCGTTCAGATGCTCGGTTTTTTTGTTTGTTTCTGTTATTCTGCGCTTCTCGAGATTTGAAAAGTGCTACTTTACTGTGGCTTGTGGATCGTAGACATATCAACTCTGTTTAAAGATTTTTATGACTTCCTGCTCTATTCTCACTTTGATTTTTCAGCAGAGAATTTTCAACTTCTTTCTTTTTTTTTTTTTTTTTTTTTTCTAAGAGATCTTATGTTTTATGTAGTGTACAATAACGAGTAGTTTATTCGTTCATTTATCATTAGTGAAAAAATTTTCAGCCATAAAAAAGCATTGTGTTTTTGTTTCTTTGATGAATAAGTTTTCAATACTTAAATCGTTTGAAAAAAAAAAAAAAAAATCAAACAAATTCCATTTATACTCCAAAGCTATTGAAAAATCAGTGTTTCACTATTATTATTGTTATTATAATTAAAAAAATTTTTTTTTTCCAGATCAAAGGTTGTAAGGACGAGTAAGAGAGCTAGAAAAGCACCATAGAAGTCAAATCAGGTAACTATTATCCACAATTACACATTTATTGTTCTAAATGCGTGACAAATTTGTCATCCAATAATTGTAAGCTTATATTTTAACGAAACCAGTTTCATCATTTTTGACGATGTATTTTAATTTAAGTTACTGTAAAGTAATGAAATGTTTTTTACTACCGCACCCCATGTTTCTTAAGAGTAACTCGAATAATATTTTATAAAGAGATTTGCCAAGAACCTAATTTATCATATGATTTCCAAATGGAATACTTACTTCCGTCTTTAAAATCGTCATTTGAAAAAAACTTATTAAAATTGAAGCAAATATATTCTTGTAGAAGTTCATTATCCACTGCAACTTTGATGTTCACGTAAAGATACTCTCATTCCTTTTAATGTTTATACGAACAGCCAGTATAAAAAAACAGATGTTTATTACCTATTGGAGATGTCAAGAACATCCATATCGAATGTACCACCAAATTCTTCAAACTCCAAAGAAAAAAGTGATTGACATTTCTCGAGTTCAAACATCAATAAAAACCGTAGGAAGTATAAGCTGCAACAAATTTCACACACTCACAACTACCTATATAATTATAACTTCCTCCTCGACAAAGTATGCTACAACGCAATGCGAAACTTTACCCAGCACGGTATAATATATACTAGTCCCCCTAATGACCCAAACTTTTATACTTTGTAATACAAAAGGACCCTTTGTTAAATTTCCATCGAGCCCACGCCGAAACTCCCCCATTCGATCAAACATCGGATCTCGATTACCATACAACACCCAACCCCTTGCTTCCCCCCATGCACACTATAATCGCCTTTATCTCCGTACCTTAAACCCTGCCCCATCACCGAAATTTAATCCGAGTTGGCGAAACATCTTTGATTAACATTCCAATGGATTACGATGTGCTTGGCAGGGCAGCTCAAGTCGTTAATCCGCGTAATAGCTTTGGAAAAAAGGGGTACGGTATCGCAATCAAGGAAAGGGGCAAGCTCATATGTATGATCATGCTAATCGTATCAGACTCGTGGCGTATCAATAGTGTGGACGCGTTCCAAGTGTCGAGGAGAGCGATAACAACAACAATACCACACGCGGTGGACCTTTTTCTCCCTCCCGCGGGAACAACTTTTTTCCGATGTACCAAAGCTCATCCTCGCCATCGATTTTTTTTGTCCGGGATCAACTTGCTAGACGCCCAAAAGCAGCCTTGGCCTTTTTCTCCTTCGATAATCCAATGGGACATTCCTCGGGGCGCGTCAACATTCGATCGGGTGTCTTCTATCTGAGCATGATGGCTCGGTTTTATCGAAAGTTCAAAGTTGTAGCGTTAAATAGTATCACAATGATCTGCTTTGTTCTCACTTTTGTTGGCAAATGAAAAAAAAACAAATTTCAGGAAAGGATGCCTCGACGTCCTCGTAAGGCCATCACGAGGGATGAACGATAACAATAGTGAATGACATGACAATTCTACCCTTTCTTTGTGACGCTTCTGTTTAAAATTTCATGATGGTTTTTTTTAGTCCAAAAGAATTTACGCTTTACGTGAATTTCTTGGCTATAAAAAAAATTTGTGTACATCAATGGTTGGGTAAAAAACAACCAAACTATAAGGTTAACTTAATTTTAAGAGAAATTTTACCTTTTTCATAAATGTAGTGCCAACATGGTGTAATCCTGGACAGTCTGTATATACTGCTTACAATTAAGATAGAAATGTACTTTCGCTAAAAAATTGGAAAAAAACATCCGAATTAGCCATTTTTTAAACAGATATATGAATAAGGAATGTAGTATATGTCCAGACTCCAGAATCTATGAGCATAGATAAGTATGGGCGTGAAACTACGTTGACAGTATCGTCGGCCACGTACGTATTTTGGGATCCATCTCCATGCCACCCTCAAGGCTGAGCTTTGCAGTATAAATCCTTTATCGTCTTGCTTCTTCTTCAACTTTAAATTTGAATTAGATATTTACACTGCCCTAGCCACGATGTACGGCATATGAATGAGAGCCGTGTCCTTCGATAGAAGAGATTCGACGCGGATAATTAATTTTAAACCCACGAGCTTGCGAATACTGCAAGTTCATCGTATACCAACAGGCACATGCTCCTAACAATGGATGGTCTGATATGCAAGTTACGCGATGGATTCCCACGAGCTTGAAGGAGATAATAGATGCCCCCTTGGTTGCCGTGCATCATCCAATGCTTCTGTCACGCGGTACTTGCAGCATCGAATCCACCCAAATGATCTAACACCGTCGCAGTCTCTCGTCACGTCGAGTCGGCTTGTACCTACCACATCTAGTGTTCATTGGAGATCCTGCCTAGCTTCTCGATTAAAGAGTCATCGGGGATTCAAAGCCATACGCGACTGCACGGTTCGCTACCGCCCCACTGTGTGTAAGAGTTACTTTGAAATTCCATTGAAAATGGAACTGTCCAATGTGCCGTCGCAGCTTCAGATTTTCTCCATCACGTTGAAGGACAAGGGTGCTCTGATGATCAAAATATGATCCTTTTTCTACAGCTGATTTTTAAACTTGACACCTCGTAAGAATCTGTCTTGCGAATAAACCGGCTCATTAACAGTTATTTCAACAGAATCATCTTGAAACGTTGAATTCCAAACAAAAAGATTTTTTTAACCATGAGCAAGTTTTACAACTAAGGATAAAAGTATGCTCCCACGTCGTAATTGGGTGATAAAACCTTCGATCGGAAGAGGTCGGAGGTACATACACGCTGCTGCAAGAGGTGTGAACCTTCGTAAGGAAAAGAAAATCGATGGAAAATACAAATATTATAAAGCCTCTGGCAAATACAGCACAAGATAGTAAGACAAGGAATAAAAGTGATAAATAATACAGAATATTAAAAACCTTTTGAATGGAAGGAAAAGAAATGAAAAAAAAGTACTGCAGGTATTAGCATCGGATAGGATATTAGATTCAGAAGAGGATATCGACTAAATTAGTCTACAGTCAGCCGAAATAAGCATTTGGAAAAGGAAACAAAGGCAACAGTAAATTTTTAATAAACGCTGGTGTAAGGTACCTAGAATGTTTCGTCAATTAAAAGAAAAAAAGGGGGGGAGTTGGCAAAACCGGGATGATGAAAGTGGAAATGAAAAAAGATCCGTAGATAGTGGAACTGGTAATTGAAGATAATAAGGATTGTTAAATGTTCCCAAGTACCAATAGAATATCGATTCCAACCGCGACTACTCGAATTTATCGGTTCCTGATCCGAACACAACACACGCTCACACCTACGTAATACGCTTATTCGTTTCACGTAGCATCTCTCTCTCCCTTTTTGTATTCCTGAGCGCACATCATTTCCGTCGTGTATATGTATCCATACGCGCCTTAAATTGTAGAATCTAGGTACCCTATATAATATTAGTTGTCTTCGCGGATGTAGAGAGAGCACGTCGCATCTCTCTGTTTCTCTGGCTTGTTTATACCCGATGCAGCACTGTAATTTGGTTAACCCAGTGCTCCGGCACTTCCATTACCGACCATTAGTGTCTAGGCACCCGCTCATGTATACACATATAATACACCTAGACGTACCTATACCTATTGCCTTCCTAGTGGTACAGTATGCCCTTGCGTGTGCGTGTGTATTTAATTGTGTCCGTGTGTTGTAAATGTTGTTGTACCCACAAGGAGGAGGAGGAGGAGGCACCGAGGCATCAGCCATACATACGTGCAGGATTGAGATTGGAGTGGGAGAGTAATCTATATTTGGTACTGGTGCCTGACATATTTAATTTTCGATGGTTGATGCGAGGCCTGTGCCTTGGAAATCCTTGGCCTTGCTTTGCTTGACATTTATCGATGCAAACACGATAAGAGCCATCGTATGAGGCATGTCAAGTTGACGATGTACAGTTTGTTACAGACAAACCGAATTCGAGTTGTCATTGAAAGTATTGATCATATTTTTTGATGACTATTAATTTTGGTGAATATGCCACGACAGTTTCATAATTTAGTGGCTCACCTTTCGGTTTGATATTTATTTTTATTTATTTCTGTTTAAGGGTACGTTACGTTGCGAGTAACATAATCTACCTTGTTAGGTATTGTTTTTTTTTAATAGTTTTATTCAAAGCTGTGTACATGTTGATTTACAAAAATGTTCCAACATCTAGTTGAAACACAAAAATTGATTAACGATTTTCTTTTTACTGGTATTTCTGGCGTTTTTTTTTGCTCCAACGAAACTCATTCGGATAAAATACATCAAAGAAGCATCAAAAAGGACATTAGTCTTGAAGAAATACTTGCCAACTGGAGCACTGAAACTTGGAAGCGCGTTTCTTACGAAAATTTTCCGCAATCTGCAGCGCGGCAATTAGCCCCGAAACGAGGTCAAATGAAAACGAATCAACCATGTGGACCATCATTACAGCTTGTTTTAACCAAATTTTTTATTGGTAATATACGCATATAAAGGATTTACAATAGATTCCTTGGGTATTGTACACGTTGTTTTTTATGGTATATTCAGAGGTTTGGTATCCATATATACCAAGTATAAAACACTTTGGGATATGCCGATTTTTCCCCTTTAGTGAAAAAAACAAATAAAATACGTCAGCTCCAACAGATCCCTCGACTTAAATCAACGTGTCCCGACTCTTGGCCGCAAATAGTCCTAATACAGAAAATTAGTCTCTGGCAGTGCTCGTTAGAGCGTAAGCTTGGAACAACTTAATCCAGAGCGAAAGGGCCGTGAGATAAGGCACCGTTAGCACTCGAGTCCTCCAAATGGATTGAGGATATTTGTCTTACCCACCAAAAAACAGAACAATCTCATCTCAAAATTTTTATTGAATTTTTATTGAAGTATCACTTCAATTAAAAAAAAAAAAAAAAAAAAAAAAAAAACTGAGCATATTTAAATTATGTCATATTTTAATGTGTTTCAAAACGTTTGACTTTAAACTTTCAGTAATGACAATTAAAACGAGTTCAAA